GGAGTCTGCTTCTCCCTCTGACCCTCCCCCCTCTCATGTACCCTCTCTCTCTCATTCTCGCTCTCACAAATAAATCTTTAAAAAAATGTTTTAAAAATTGGAAATTCAATAAAACTTAGGTGGTCATTCAACATTTAAATTAAATGGCTCAATCTGGCCAACCTAGAAGATATCTGTATTTTCCCAGTACAGATTATTATTTCTATTATTTTGCATTACTGACTTTGTAAGTTCATATTTATCTTTCATGAGAGCCTAATAACTATTAGATGTATTAATATAGAAATAAACAGGCATTGTATAACCCATACCAAAAAAACAAAACAAAAAACAAAACACATATTTGTCCAGGGTTTTTAATTGAATTTTATTTCTCTAGCTGAGTAAATAATGTTTTGATCAACTGGTGTTTCGTAGGATTCTGTTTCTGGGGAAACTTACACCATTTGATTCATATTTTAGGTTTGTAGAGCCAACATTTCTTCACATTGTTCTCTTGTCCAGGCTTCACCCACCTGCTCACCTGGCATTATCAGGGCAGACTAAACCAAAAAAGTCTTCTTATTCTGATTAATTGCTTTTTAGGAGACTCAAAAAGATAATACATCTGAAAACTAAATGTTTGGGATTAAGACTATTTACAACCCAATCTTAACAAGGGGAGTCTGAATTAAGTCCTGGTACATTCAGCTGTAGGAATGACAATATTTCTGATTATCTCTGATATCAGAAGTTAAAATTTCCTACTGCCTATGGTTAAAAGAACCTTCACCAGGGTTAATAACACTTTTCTCCAAAACATAAGATTCTAAGATTTTTACTGAAGCTTATGAAAATGAAGCTCCAGACAAGGACATAGCTGAGGGCTGGTGTCTAAGGGAAATGGCATTTTCTAGAACATTAAAACACACACACACACACACACACACACACACAACTTTGTGTTAATATCACCCATGGTTATTCATCTTTGGAGTCTTTGAACAAAATTTGAAAATACTGATGGAAATGAAAAGATTCATTGCTCACTAATTTATAGCCGATGCCCTGAGCAGAATTGCTTTTTGAAAATATAGTCAAAGAATAGTTCCGTGATCTGAGAGGTCATATTTAATCATGCCACAAATTTTATCATTGGTATATTTGAGAAACGATGGCGACTACCCCAATAATTTCCAAGGTGTTCTGTGTGTTTTCTTGGTTAGAGTTTCCTGATGTTCTTTATTTGCATCCTATAAATAAAAGGTGTTAGACTCCTAACTCTATATTAAATCTCTACAGGGCACTGAGAGATCAAGGTTTACAGAGCCTTGATTTTATCAAGTTTGCTAGCAGCAGGAACTGCCACAGATGGTGCCATCTGAGCCACACTCGGCGAGGGTTTCACACGGATATTTCTGAAAGGCAAATATGATCATATCCCTCCCTATTTAAAATCTTCCAATTCTCCCTATAGTGTTCAAGATAAAGTCTAAGCTCTTAACATGACCCACCTAAAGACATTTCACAATTTGGCTTTTGCTCACCTCTTTCTCTCATCTTCCTTTTTCCTTCCATTCTAGCCCACAGATAAGCTTAAATATTTCCAGGTCCCTGAGCAATACCATGTTATCCTCTCAGAAGTTTGGGCCTTTGCCTTTGCTGTTTGCTTTGCCTTTATTATTCCACCTCTAACCTTGCTTAGGTACGTTCTGTTTTTACCTTACAGCACTCATCATTCAATATTTAAAATACATGTTTACAAGTCTCTACCCCATCTGGAAAGACAAGGGCAGTAGCTTTCCTCTACAGTCGTGCTATCCCTAGGTCTGAAACAGTGCCAAACATTTTAGAACATTTTGACAAACACTCATTCACTTGTTGAATGAGTGAATCAATACATGAACGAATGAATCAATACATGAATGAATTAATAAAGTAACTGCCTCTTGAGTTATGTCCCAGACCGTCTTAGCCTTTCCAGAATGCTGTTGAATACATTTCGATCTACCCATACCCAAACTTATGCTGGCTCTATCTTAAACCAGCTATAGCCTTTCAATCTTAGGATAAGTCATCACACCTGGATCACATGAAACAGAGGTAGGCTACAAATTCTCCCCTAATCCATCCCAGCAAAGCAGCTTTCTTTAGGTCACTATAAAAAGCTCTATAACTTGAAAGCTAATATTGAGATAAGCTCAACTTTTGACCTTCTGAAAATCTGAGGGCATATTGTAGTACATGATCTGCTCTCAGCCTATCACTTAAGAAATCACTGCCTAGATCGAGCCCCGCATCGGGCTCCCTGTTCCAAGGGAAGCCTGCTTCTCCCTCTCCCACTCCCCCTGCTTGTGTTCCCCCTCTCGCTGTGTCTCTCTGTCAAATAAATAAAATCTTAAAAAAAAAAAAAAAAAGAAATCACTGCCTATTTCAAAGAGGAGAAAAGTTATTTTCTTTCCTCAGATTAATTCTCTGGAAACAAATTCCAACATGGAGAGTTGTATGCAGGAGGTTTATTTGGGCTTTGCTCTAGAGAACACCACCTGGAAGAGTAAGAAACAGTGCTGGGCAGAAGGAGAGGTTGAAATGTGGTATGGTTTCCACAGGTATCTCAGCTGATCTCCACAGAAAGTTCTGGGGCTGGGATGATCCTTCCTAATGGTCTCAAATTGAGGAAGAGTGTCTAACACTCTTGTACTTCCTCACCAACCAACCATGTTTTTTGACTTCTCTTCAGGAAGATGTTAACTTTGGGAAAGGCAGCATTCTTCTGCTAAGGACAATTCTGGAACAGAAATTAACCTTGGGCCATCAACAGCTAACACCCTCAAGCATCATGCTAGAAATTTTCCCAGGTGGAGCAAAAATACATGAAGGAAATGTATCTGAGAGATATGGGTAAACTGTAGTGGGGCTACCGAGGTGGTTGCCCACTTCCCTCCTTCAAGTTAGAGACACTCATTCTTCCAGGTGCTGTAAGCCAAGGCAATTCAGGCATAAATATTTTACTTTGTACAGGTCACTGTTTTATTCATCCTTCTGGCACCATATTAGCACCATATCATGGGGTCCTTGCCAAGGTGTTATATCCTACTTCATGAAGGAGTGCTGTGTTAGTTTTCTGTTGCTACAAGTCTCCAAAACCTAAATGTCTTAAATACAAATTTATGATCTTGCACTTATGCAGGGCAGAAATCTAAAATGGGTCTCTTTAGGGGTGCCTGGGTGGCTCAGTCATTAAGCGTCTGTCTTTGGCTCAGTTCATGATCCCCAGGGTACTGGGATCAAGCCCTGCATCAGGCTCTTTGCTCCACGGGAGGCCTGCTTCTCCCTCTCCCTCTCCCTCTCCCACTCCCACTGCTTGTGTTCCGTCTCTCACTGTGTCTCTCTCTGCCAAATAAATAAAATCTTAAAAAAAAAAAAAAAATGGGTCTCATTAGGCTAATTTGCCAGAGCTGTGTTACTTTCTGGAGTTTCTAGGGCAGAACCCACGTTCTTGCTTTTTCCAGCTTCTAGAAGTTACCCAAATTCCTTGGCTTCTCCCCCCCCTCCCGGCCTTTTTAAGATGTATTTTATAAAGAGAAAGAGCGAGAGAGCGGCACACACGCGAGCAGGGGTAGGGACAAAGGGAGATAATGTCAGACTCCCCGCTGAGCACAGAGCCTAACTGGGCTCCATCTCAGGACCCTGAGATCATGATCTGAGCCAAAAATCAAGAGTCCCACGCTTCACCAACTGAGCTACCCAGGTGCCCCGGGGCCTCTTTTTTCATCTGCAAAGCAGGCAATGGGATGTTGAATCTTGCTTACCAGGCATCACTCTAAATAGTCACGTCTCTATTTCTGACTCTTGTTTTCTACTCCCCTCTTACAACGTTAAGAACCCTCATAGAAATAACCAGGATAACTTAGAATAACATTCCCGGGCACCTGGGTGGCTCAGTCGTTAAGCGTCTGCCTTCGGCTCAGGTCATGATCCCAGGGTCCTGGGATCGAGCCCCGCATCGGGCTCCCTGCTCTGCGGGGAGCCTGCTTCTCCCTCTCCCACTCCCCCTGCTTGTGTTCCTGCTCTCGCTCTCTGTCAAATAAATAAAATCTTTAAAAAAAAATAGAATAACATTCCCATTTTAAGGTCAGTTTATTAGCAAACTTTATTCTCTTTTCTATTTAAATTCTCCTGTGAGAGACGCCATGAGAGAGATAGAGATGACGTGACAGACATAGATTAGGAAGGGGAGGTTAGATGGGGGCACGATTCTGCCTACCACAACTGCTAAATATATTCAAACAAACAAAATTTCTCCCTTTGACCCTTCTTAATCCAGCCCCTCGGGACCTATACATACTTTACCTGGCTCCTCCCAGTAACTTTTGTCTATGTCCTACAGTTTTTTTGGTGTGTATTCCTTTTCCTCATTTTGTAGGCCCAGCACTGCCTCAGTTGGATTATGATGTGGTAACACAGAGTGGAAGTGGGGATGGAAGCAGAGTGTATCTGAATCAACTTCATGTAAGGAAGGAACACTAACCTTTTAAGAGAGCAGTGGACCATTCTCGAAGGCCCCTCTGTGTTTAAGGAATATGGTAATTCAAGCGCATTAATCCAGTTCTTACCTTCACAGGGTCCCATGCCCTTCTAATTAGGACCTTAACCTTTGGATAAACACACTTGAAGATTTCAGATTTTGAAATTTTCTAAGGCTCCTTTATTCTTATAATTAAGTGATGGGCCTCATGCATAGCTGTTTTTACCCGTCAGAGATGAAAATAACTTTATGCTGCTTACAAGGTCATCTAGCTTTCACACTTCGCCTGAAGTGGTGATTAATCATCTCCAGTCTTCCTTTTCTTTCCCTAATGCATTAGTATCCGACAAAAACGGACTAATTTCAGAGCCCTTGAAATACCCCTTTCTCTGAACGCTCAGACGTCTGAGACGTTGCAACAGTCAGTGCAATCCCTTCCACCCTGATTCTAGCTTCCCTGCAACAGCATACAAGGGGTTGGGATTGTACTTACCTCCAGTGATGTGGTCCTCATATTCAGCCAGGCAGCAGATAACACAATCCAAATTGCCATCTTCGTATGTGATTTCTAGGATCATTTCTGGTACAAACTGTCCTAGGCAAGTTTCTCCAAAGAAACAGCCTCTGAAATAGAGATTTACGTGCAGGACTTTTACTGGGAAACACGCCTGGTTGCAAAAACTCAAAGGGAGGAAGAGAAACAGGAGTAGCCAAAAGGAGAAGTCGAAAGTTTGTACCTTTATGACAGAGGTCACTAGCAATTCCACGAAGAGCTCCACAGAATTAGGATATTCCACTCCAAATCAAGCAAGGGGCTGGGTTTTTATACCCTGCATTGTTTGACCAGCCAATAGATATCAGCTGCCCAAAGGAAGGAAGCATATTCTTGGGCAAATCTTTGCTCTCCAGCTGAGAATAATGCCTGGAAAACAGCTTATTTGTGAGCTGTCGCTAGCCAACATTCCTTGCAGCTGGGAACCTAGTTGACTCACCACAGCTTTCACTACCGTTATTTTCTCCTCATCATGGATGTCTCTAGCTTCATTATTCACCAATACCTAGCCCAAAGATTCTTTTCCTAGTAATGTTTCTGAGTTTCTGTTTGATATAGCATTAAAAGTTTATGCTACATTTTATTCAAGGATTGTCTGTGTGCAATTTCATTACCTATTAAATTAAATATGATGAATAGGGATATGACCTCTGGGCAATATTATAATTGATGATAAACTGTGTACTGGATAGACAATAATAATACCAACTACTCTTTGTCAGGCACAGTAATCTGTTGAATGACTATGTCAGGTGCCATTCTAGGCATTTGGATAATATCAAACCTAGCAGATACAGATCCTTGCCTGGCTGGGGTTCATATTACTGTGGAATCAATGGCTAAATAAACAATTAATATAATACACAAAATACATAATATAATCCATTAAAAGGTGATAAGTATAAAGGGAAAAAATCAAAGATAAAAGTGAGTGGAGACGGGTAAGGCAGATTATAATTTTATTTTTTGTTTGTTTTTTTTGGTTTTTGGGTTTTTTAATTGTGATTTTAAATAGGTGGTAATGGTAGGAATCAATGAAAAAATACCAGTTAAGCAAAAATTTGAAAAGTTATTTGAATTTGTTATAAACTTTCTTATCTTGGGGAAGAAAATCTCCCAGCAGGGGGGAAAAAAAAAAAAAGGCTTATGCAAAGGTCCTATGGTAAGAATATGCCTGTTAGGTTAAAGGAAGAGCAAGAAAGCTGAAATGGAATAAAGAATGAGGAGAGTAGGGTGCGTGGGTGGCTCAGTGGGTTAAGTGTCTGCCTTCGGCTCAGGTCATGATCTCAGGGTCCTGGGATCGAGTCTCACATTGGGCTCTCAGCTCAGCGGGGAGCCTGCTTCTCCCTCTCACTCTGCCTGCCATTCTGTCTACTTGTGCTCTCTTTCTCTATATCAAATAAATAAATAAAATATTTTAAAAAAAAGAATGAAGAGAGTAAAAGAAGTTGAGAACAAAAAATAATGGAGCATATCATGTTAGGTCTTGTAGGCCATTATAAGAGCTTGTCTTTGACTTTGAGTGTAATTGGGTGCTACTGCAGGTTTTTGAGCAGGTCATAACACAATTAGGTTGCTAAAATGATAAAACCCTTCTTTGTACAGACTGCCCTGGGAGGGCAAGACTGAAAACAATGAGATCTATTAAGAGACTAAATTAGACAGCTGTTCAAGTTCATGTTTAATAGGAACAGTGGGATAGCAGATGTGGTCAGATTCTAGACCCACAGAATTTCCTGAAGGATTGGATATGTGGTATGAGAAAATGAAAGGGTGAGATCTGAGTGGCTAGAAGGATGAAGTTTTTGCCAACTGATACGGAGAAGGCTACATGCAGATGGAGCAGGATTTGAGGGCAAAATCAAATGTAACATATTGAACATCAATTTTGAGATTTCTAATAAACATCCAACTTAAGAGTAGGTGGCTAGATATACATCCATAGTTTGTAAAAGTGGCCTGGGCTATAGATATAAATCTAAAAGTCATCCATATCTAAATAGTATTTAATGCCAAGAGACTGAATAAGATCACCACAGCAGTGAATACAAATTTAGAAGGGTCCAGGAACTTAAACCTGGAAACTACCAATGCTGAGAAATGGGCCAGAAATGAGGAGCTCAGTAAAGGAAACAGAGCAGCCACCAGTTAGATTTTTGAAAAATGTAGTATCCTATAAGCCAAATAAAAAGTGAATACAAGGGGAAGTGATTAGCTTTGATAATGCTGGTAAATTAAAGGAATGACTCCTGGGTTCAACACCAAAAATTTCTAAATTAGACAATATAAGTTGTCTTGAATCCTCAAAACAACACAACTATTTAAATATTACTGTATTTATTTTCAGATGTAAATGTTAATCTCAAATTAGTTTAATTGCCCAGGTGAATTCATATCAGTGTATAGAGCTAGATTCTGTAGACTACAAAGTGCGTGCTCATTTCACTCAAATATGGGTAATTTTTTTTAGTAGTGTCATTTAAAACAAAATCATCTTTCCATATAGCACCATTGAGAGTTCAAAAAAGAAATTTGAGCATGCCAACCAGCTATTCTATGACCTCTTAGGATACCGTTTTCATGTTTTCAGTCTCCAGATTTACATATTCATAAGGCATTTTTTCTAGTATTTGGTAGCTGGTTATTCAAAGAGGTCAATATGTTGAACAAACACATAGATGAATATCAAAAGATACATACTTACTTTATAATATGGAGGATATAAGATTTTTCTATTTATGGCAAACCCCCTTCCCTGTGACAAAATACGTGGGAGATTAAATTACATATTTGAATATAATCAGTTGAGTTTTGATTGATAACAAAAGTAATGGGATGACTTTGAAGAGATACTTATCTTAAGTCCTAGGGAAGCCCTTGCACTATTTCCTTCTCAATACAGATTTTTCTTAGTGAAAGGAAATATCAGGTAGACAACCCTCCACAGAGACTGGAAGGTAAGGACACTATTGTCATTGACAATTACATTTCAAAGTGATGGTGCCCAGATCCTTGAGAAAGACTGTCCTGCCTTCTAAAACCAGCAAGAAGCTTTTAAACAGATTTACATCTCCAAAAGGCAGAGAAAGAATTTGCAGTTACACATTTTTTAAAGTAAATGCTCTGTGAGCAAAGGAAACCGCAAAACCAAAAGGCAACTGACAGAATGGGGGAATACATTTGCAAATGTCTTATCAGATAAATGGCTATTATCCAAAATCTATAAAGAACTTATCAAACTCAACATCCAAAGAACAAATAATTCAATCAAGAAATGGGCAGAAGACATGAACAGACATTCTCCAAAGAAGACATCCAAATGGCCAACAGGCACATGATCAACACTCACTCAACATCACTCAGCATCAGGGAAATACAACTCAAAACCACAATGAGATACCACCTCATGCCCATCAGAATGGCTAAAATTAACAAGTCAGGAAATTACAGATGTTGGCGAGGATGCAGAGAAAGGGGAACCCTCTTACACTGTTGGTGGGAATGCAAGCTGGTGCAGCCACTCTGGAAAACAATATGGAGGTTCCTCAAAAAGTTAAAATAGAGCTACCCTATGACCCACAATTGCACTACTAGGTATTTACCCCAAAGATACAAATGTAGTGATCTAAAGGGGCACCTGCACCCCAATGTTTAAAGAAGCAATGTCCACAATAGCCAAACTATGGATAGAGCAGAGATGTCCATCAACAGATGAGTGGATAAAGAAGATGTAGATGGGGCACCTGGGTGACTCAGTCAATTAAACATCTGCCTTTGGCTCAGGTCATGATTCCAGGGTCCTGGCATCAAGACCCACATCTGGCTATCTGCTCAGTGGGAAGCCTGCTTCTCCCTCTCCCTCTGGCTGCTGTTCCCCCTGCTTGTGCTCTCATTCTCTCTCTCTGTCAAATAAATAAATAAAATCTTAAAAAAAAAAAAGATGTAGTATATATATATACAATGGAATACTAGTCAGCCATCAAAAAATGAAATCATGCCATTTGCAATGATGTGGATGGACCTAAAGGATATTATGCTAGGCAAAATAAATCAATCAGAGAAAGACAGTTATCATATGATCTCACTTATATGTGGAATTTAAGAAACAAAACAGAGGATCATACGGGAAGAGAGGAAAAAATAAAATGACAAAATCAGAGAGGGAGACAAACCATAAGAGACTCTTAATCATGGGAAACAAACTGAGGATTGCTGGAGGGGAGGGGATAGAGGATGGGTAACTGGGTGTTGGACATTAGGGAGGGCATGTGATGTAATGAGCATGGGTGTTATATAAGACCGATGAATCACTGACCTCTACCTCAGAAACCAATAATATATTACATGTTAATTATTTGAATTTAAATTACAAAAATGAAAAAAAAAATAAAATAAATGCTCTGTGGGAAGTAAATGCTCTGTGGAATGCTTAGGGGCTGAGAGGCAGGAAGAAGCCTGTCCAAAGATTGGTCAAACCGAGAGAAATGCTAAGGTAATCTTGGTCAGTTCTTAACTTTATAATAAAATTTGAGAATATTAATACTCTATTCAGTAGATTATGTCATTTTGTACTTAAAAAATGTGCAAGAAATGGAATTTTATTCTCAACAATAATTAGATTGTTTTGAAACAAATTGATTATTTTAAATCAGTTAAGGTGATACCAGTTTTACTTCTGAAACTCAGATTTTTTTTAAAAAGATATATATGTAATATCAAAAGATTCAGCTCCTCAAAATGTAAATCAAAGTAGATAATTTTTATATACCTATTAGAGGTCATTGTGTCAGAAGGGTTAAAAAAAATCAATCATTTGGCCATATGAAATATAAGTCAATTGGGTGTCATTTAAATGTATAGAAGGGAATAAGAAGGGAAAATAAAGCCAGTAACATTTGTCTACTGACAGCCATATTCTTCATCTTGGTGCTTTCTTCTCCCTTAGACTTTGGGATTCCACTTTCTTGTTTTTCATCTGGGTAATCTGCCTGTTCTTTCTCTGTCCTCTTCTTCTGTTCCCTGACCTTTAGATCACATATTCTGTCCTTAGTACATTTCTCATCTCATCCTAAATACAATTTTCTGGAGCATGAATCTACTTTAATAATTTTAATTATCTCCTATACACTAGTTGACTACAAGATGCATATAAACATTACCGATATTTATGGATTTATCTTTTTATATTTTGTCTGCTGGTCAGACATCTCCACTAGTGTATCAACCATGTAATTTAATGCCAGCATACAT